TAACTTCCTCATACGAAGTTAGATTTTTACGTTCTTTTTAAGAACGTTCTTGGTTTAACTTATTCTACAACTTTTATTTAGGTTGTTGAGGCTAAAAATCCTTTTTACTAAAAACTTACTTTTACGCTGAACAATGTTTAGCCGGTTTTGTCGCGGATATTCGATTGGTCATAACTTCTTCGTTATAACTCGGATTTTAGTGTTCTTTATATTTTTAGAAACCTTGTTACAATCTCTACCACTTTGTTCATCCCAATCAAAGATAATTTAATACTTCATTTTTGAGGGTTGATTATGTAAATGTACATAGTATACAAAAATTTCTCTTTATTATTTTAAAAAGAATTACAAATTGATATTTTGAAAATAAAGCTGTAAATTAGTACCCGAGAGTCTGGGAGTTACAATTTTAGCCACATTTGGGCATTTTCATGATATTTTGAAAAACACAAGTTTGTAAAGGAGCTTACACCTTTATGCTCTACACATGGTCATTTTCACAATTTAGACCATTCATATTATTATTGTAACCCTTTGGTTCCACTTACATACTTTTGGGAACCAAATTTTGAGTCAAAAGTTTTCTTGATAAAAGTTTCAATAGGATGTACATTACCTTCAAGTTTCATTCTAGTTTTATTTGAAAAAAAAAACTTGAAACTCAAGCAATTTTGAAGCGGCGATTATCATAGATGGGTGACCGATTTAATTATTGAACAAATTTTCCTATATTTTGGTCACCCGGTGTTTGATACTCATTTATATAGGTTTGCTTTATTGTATATAGATCGAGTTGTTTTTTTTTCGCAAGTTGATGATGTTAGGGAGACTGTCGAGTCTGATACTACGGGAGGTTTGGGCCAAGACTAAGTGAACTGATTCCTACAACGATGCCCGAACGATGAAACCCAATCACACTTGAGAGTGGCTGACAGACGTGAGACCACACAACTTTCGTGATAAGAGTGTACACTTCAAAAAGCGCTCCACATGAGCTCGTCCAGCTACTTTCTCCATACTACAGATGTTCTACATTGTATGCATGTTCCATTAGGGCTACGACTAACCATCCCTCCTTACTCACCTATACTAACGATGATCAAGTTCCGCGGTTCTATCCATTCTTTTTATTTTTCTTATGATAGTTCATCCCGAGTTCATTATAGTATTGTCTTACTTGAGGACAAGTAAGGTTTAAGCTTGGGGTGATTTGATAGTTTCACTCTATTTATTTGTTTGTATAGTTTATTTTAGCATATTTCATTTACATTTTAGTTATTCCATGCATATTTTCCTTTTTGTTATTTTATGACCACTTTCGGGTACTTTGTAGTTTTGTGAGTACAATTACAGATTTTAAGGAGACTAGCGGAGCGGGATCTTTGGGGAGAAATTGGACTTGGAGGACAACAAATATTTTGGATTTGATGGCCATGGAGATGATGCATGGAGTGGGCTTGTCAATTATTTGAAGACTTGGAAGAATTAAACTTTAAATTTGCAAGATGCGGGGAATTTTCGAGTATGCGAAGATTGATGATCGGGCGATTACGGAAGCTATGGATCGTTTGAAAAAGGCTAACTGGGCTAAAAATGAAGAAATCTTGTAGAAAAATGGGCAAGAAGCTAATTAGACTCGAACCGGACCAAATGGGTTAAGCTGTGGAGGCCCAACAATTGAAGAAGTCCAATCTCCTTCTCTCTTATGTGGCCCGTTTAATGTTTCCACGCGACCCGCGTGGATTCCTGCAGGGGCAATTTCAGGATTTTAATTGGAGCTCTATATGGGAAACTGGAAAGGTTGGTGTGCCACTTTTCTAAACTTTTTCACATCCGAACTTGAGAGCATTCTCTGGAGATTTTGGAGCATTTTAAAGGCCAAGAACCTTGAAGAACTTCATCTTTTTGCTCTTGAATCTTGTAAAATGTTTGGTACAATCCTTACTTATCTTGTTTTCTTGAGTTTAGCCTTGCTTGGCTAGACAAAACTTGGTTGACTTTGATGAAATCCTTTGACTTATGTTGAATGTTGAAGACTCCATGAACTAGTTCTTGAGTCTTTACGAGAATGTTTTGTGTTTTAACATCTTATTACTACTTGTATGTTTTTATTCATGAGTTTAAAATATGCTTGTGGTGATTAGTTGGCTAATTTCTTTATTAAGTAAAGGATCTTCGAATTAGCAAGCAACAAATGGTTCTTGTGTTAATTTTGTTGCACACAATCATAAAAATATTTTCTCCAACATTGTAGAGAAAACATTTAACTCCTCTTGGATTTGGTGACTTTTTGGTTCTTAATGCTAGTTGACTTTCACTAATTACATGCTTAATAAGAATTGTGACTTTGACTAAGGAAATTGTTATGATTTTCTCTAACCATTTTAAAAACTAAAAAAAGTCTAGGTAATCTCAAGCTTCTTGGATTACTATAGCCAAATTAAGGATTTAAAACAAGTATTGCATCATTGGATTATAATGATATGTTCATCAAAAGTCAAAGTGAGGAAACCTTAAGTCAACCATCTTTCCCTTATTGATTTTACATCAAACTCTTATTTTTGTTATATTATACATTTAAATCTTAGTTTAATTCTAGTTTTGTTTCAAGTATTTAAAAAAAAAGATAAAAACCCCCTTTTTTATTTATATTGTTATTTTACAAATACTTTTACAAAGAGATTTTTCATAGAGTTATAGAATTGAACCAATCTCTGCGGATTCGACCCCTTTACCACTGTACACTATTTTAGTGTAAAAGATATAGAGTTATTAATTTTGTTGGCTTCAACAACCACCAACACAAAACAACAAGGTGTTGTCTGTGTTTTACATTTAGAAGAGACTTGACTTCTAAATTGTCAATCTTGGATTATCCAAAAATCTAATTTCGTGATACTTCAGGATATAAGGTCAAAATCATAGATTTTGGAAAGTGATTGCAATCACGATCCTAGAATTATCCAAGTATATATTGATATTCTTAAATCCAAAATCTAACAACATCTTTGGTGGAGTATTTCTTGGAATAAATCTTGCATTCGGTTCCATAATTCCCTAGCGGATGCTTGAAGCTTCATGATATTTTAGAGTAAATCTAGAGATGTTGTCCAATAAATCCATTAGTTGAGGATTGGCCAAGAACATTGTAAGTTCAAGTGATGATATGGGAATTTCCAACCCAAGATGCACAACGATCATTAGTATAATCAAGGGTTATCTACATTGTGTTTTTTTAATGCCGGTTATGGCGAAAGAAGGGTAAAATTATTCTTGTTGGCTTTTTTTTTTTTTTTATTCATATTAGGGAGCCATATGGTTCTATGATGGAAGATGAGAAAGACAAGAAGAAAAAAAGGATATTATCCATTGGCAAGAAGAGGAAGATGGGAGGGGTTATTCTTTCATCATCGAATCCTGTGACCCATAATGAGAATAACCCTTGATTATATCGGTGATTGTTACACATCTTGGATTGAACTTTTCTAGATGATTATATACGCCCACAACATACCACATCGATGATGCCATGTGGAAGAGAAATTTATGCAATTGTCTAACAATAGAGTTACAACACAACGTCCTCCAAATTATGATGAAGCTGGAAACATTCGTCATAGAAATATGGAACCGAAGGAAATTTTTTTTTCAAGATAACAAAGATGTAATGATTTTTTAGAAAAATAAATAAAATTGAGGTTTAAACTGAAAAAAAAATGTAGCGCTAAATAAAAAAAATGAAAATGTAACGGGTAAATGGAAAAAATAAAAATTATAAGAGCTAAATCGAGAAAAATATAACAAATATAAAAGCTTTTTTCACAAAAAAAAGTTTGAAATTTAATCCAAGAAAACATAATATATAAGGGTATTTTTGTTTGGAAACTCTCCGATTCAATTTATATACCATCTCTGTTCACTTAGTTAGATTTTTATAATTTAGATAACTTATTCATTAAATCTACATTCACCAATTTCTTATATTGATTAATAATAATCAAATGGCAAAAAATCCCGATCAAAACTTTACTAAAAAATATTTGGATTTTATCCAAGGAGCCTAAATGAAAAATATGTCCACCTTATGCCGAAAATAGTAGAGCAAACAAAAAAAGGCAATAAAATTTATCATTATATAAAAATCAAAAGTCAAACAAAAATATGTCCAATATCAAGCAGAACGAATAATTAATCAAAGAAAAAAAAAAGTAAGCAATAAATGCGTCATTATAGTAAATTAGAAAATCCTAAATTTGAGTATCTCATTCAAGGTTGTCAAGATCGGGATCCTACCTAGGATCGTTTTTGGGTTTGCAAAATCGGAATCGTAAGATCGGGATCGAGATCCTAAGATCCCACAAAATAGAATATAATTTTTATTTATAATATTAATCATAAAAAATATTTCAAACATTTAATTTTTCGTTCAAAAGTTATAAAAACTTTAAAATATTAGTCATAAGTCACAATAAAAATGATAAATGGTAGATTGGTAAAGGGTAAAAGACATAAAATGGTAAAAAAAATTCATTTGAAAAAAAAATTTAAAGGAAGGTAGGATCGGATCGGATCTCGATCCTACGATCTTACGATCCTACCAAAAATACGATTCTTTTACGATCCGGATCGTTTTTCATACATAGGATCGTAGGATCGTACGATCCTACGATCAGGATCGCGATTTTGACAACCATGATCTCATTATCATCACTACACAAACAAATAAGATTAAATTAGACATACATGCGCAACATGCTTTTAAGAAAACTAACTACACCTTACAAATACATGGTAAATATTTATAGCTATCTAACTAAAACCAAAGTGATAATATTGTATGGTAAGTATTGATTAAAATAATTTTAACCTAAAAATTACCGATAATGAGAATGAATGAAAGTGGTAGCACATTTTTCTTAATAAAATTATATTTTTTGAATTCGAATATTATGAAGTAATTATAATTACACAAAGAATTTGTCATTCACTCCAAAGATTGGACAGAAGAAGCATCCCTAAAAATGGGTTGTCATCTTCTGTTTGACTTGAAGGGAGCATAGCATTGATGTTGTTTCAGGGACCCAAGAATCGTTGACGTAACGAACTTGACAAACCCCGGAATGGATCAAAATTCAAAATACCAGAAACTGGTGGTCGTCCACAATCAAAAGGCGTCTCAGTGGCTGAGACGCCCTCTCACCAATTCCAAAAGTCATCTATCACCGGAGATCTCCATTTATGGCTATTTTTTCACACTGAGCAGCAGTACAGAACTATTTGCTTTCAGCTTTCTTCAACACCACAGTCGTCGATCATGAGGACGCCAACGAATCGAACTGTGAAAGTCATACCGTTTCAACACTCGTATACTGGCGGAGATAGTACTACACCGGCGACATCTTCGTCTTCCTCTTCGATGTCGAGATGGAGTGCGAAGTTGAATCGGATGAAGATGATTGATTGGGTTGAGCTTTTTCTCCCTTGCTCACGTTGGATTCGGACATACAATTGGCGAGAATATCTCCAGCCTGATCTAGTCTCTGGTGTCACCGTCGGTATCATGCTCGTCCCACAGGTACATATCAGATATTCCAGATAAAATGCAAACATCTCACAGCCTCACGAACTTCTCTACTTGCAATTTG